TTTCTTATGAACTATGTCCACTAAAAATTTATTAAATTTATCTATATGTTTTTAATAGCTTTTAATAGGTACAAATCCGCATTATATGGAACCAACCCAGGATGAGATAAGAGATAAATTATATGTATGTAACATAAATCCATACATTGTGAAAGGTGAAGATGGGACAACGTGTACTATAACAGAGCAAACAGCGATTGGGTTACTAAATAGATATTGTGATAAATTATGGAAATCCAAATTTATGAATTTAACGCCAATTTGGGCCTTACATGAAATTGTACTGGAAAACAAACCAAAATTATACAAGGTATTAGAAATTTTAAAGAATCTCGTTTCTCGGTTACTTACCTATTTCTATATCTATAGAGTATCTAATTGGTATTTGATATAGTTTATTGTACTTGGTAATGTTTATTCTACGTAATAGTAGTTTCGTTATTAACGTTCTTTTAGATTTCTCTGAAACTACCAGTTGTATCTCCATTGAAAACTGAAATATTTGGTGATGCTATGGAGTCCATTAGTATCGCAAAGCGATCTGTTGCTATGAAAGCATGTATAGAATTGCACAAAATAGGCGAATTGTCTGACAGGTTATTACCAAATACAATGAATGCTATTGCTAAAAAGGGATGTAATTTATTCCCAAATTGGGTAGATGAAGAGGAGTCGGAAAATGCATTGACTGGAACATGTAAGAAAAAGCGATATCATCCATTACAGGTAAAGTAAAATATAAACTTATTACAGCTTTATGTGACATGTATCTACATGTTACATGTTACATGGACTTGTGCATATCTAATATAAATATTATTTACAGTTTCCATCTGCTTTATATGGTGCATATCCTCTGCCAAATGAATCAATATATCTTCATCTTTTGCATATTAAACCTGTATATTCATCACCTCATGATACCCGACATTTGGTATTTTATAATTTGCTATCTAACAATGCAGGTTTTGCAATAATTTCTTCAAAAGAAATGCCAAAGGTAAACATAAAAGCTACTCTATATTTCATGATGGAATATTTGAGTGCTTATCACATGCTTTTTTGCAGATACCATCCTTCCCAGTTTTTATGAATGTCGGAGAATTAAATGTTAATATTAAAGTAAATTATGCAAGTATGAAATTATCTGCAAAGCAAATTCAACGTATAAAAGTCTTTCACACTTTGATATTTAGTGAAATTGTACCGGTTATAAAATCTTTTATGGTATTCGATAATTATAATCAAGATAATTGTTTCTTAATTGTACCAGGTATGTTCGACTTAGTAATAAAAATAAAATATTTACTCACAATATTGTATATACTTACAGTACGATAATATAAATTTTAAGTAATTTTAATAACTAAATTTAAATATACATTAAGGGTCATTAAGGATTTTTCATATTTTCATAAAAATTATAATATTTCAGTTGATGAAAATTGGGAAATTAATTGGGACGTAATGAATGAATATCAATCTATAGAACGTATACCACCACCGGTTCCATTTCATATTAGGAACAGTGACTATGAGTTAGCGTTAGTTGTACCCAATTATAGAGCATCCCCAGCTATGTACTTAGTTACAGAAGTTTGCGAAGATCTTACACCAGGTTCATGTTTCCCAACGGATAACTTCTTTACGTACGCTCATTATTATAAGCAAAAACATGATTTGATAATAAATAATTTAAAGCAACCGATGTTGGAGGTACACGTTATAACAAGGAAAATTAATTTTATACAAGCTAGGTAATATAAAAATTTTAATGGGCAACTGGAATAAGCTTCAATTTATAATTACGTTTCTGGTTCTTCAATACAGAAATATGCAGAATGAGTCTAAACGGCGAAAACGTACAGAGTTACCTAAAGATTTGAAAGAGCATTTAGTTCCAGAATTATGTACTAGAATTAAATTTCCAGCTTTATATTGGCTTAAAGCAACAATGTTACCATCCATTCTGCACAGAGTTTCACAACTTTTAAATGCCGAAGATCTTAGATCTACTATTGCTGCAGAAACTGGTTTAGGATCCATATCAATACAGAACGAGTGGCCGTCGTTAAAAATTTTAGATGAAGAAACAGACGAATCCTTTGAATCTTTGGTAGAGGTTCCTATCGATGAAAATATGGAAAATCCACTACCAGAACCAGTTCTAGAAGGTCCAGAAATAGATGGTATACTTTACTTCACTTTTATTGCTTTTATCAAAGATAATACATTTTTCCAGAACAGTACAGTAATTTACAAACACATAATTTGTTGTATTATTTTGCGTTTACAAACATTATTGCTGAAATCAAGGAAAATGTTTTTTTTTATTTATTAATTAAATAATTGTATACAGTGCTAAATACAGAAGCATTCCATTATCCGTGGACAAAAGATCAAGAACCACCTGATTTAGATAGAAATATTGAAGATATCCAAATGATCCAAATTGAGCATTTCTGTCAATTTATGTCTGGAACTTGTAATGAAACTGTCGACAAAACGATGGTATTTATTTATATTTTAAGTAACTTTTGAGTAAAAAAATATATAGTACTAAATAAATAAGTTTTATTCTAATGACAAACGATTAAACCTAATAACCGATAGAATTATATAAAATTTTGGAACGAAATGTAAATACAGTATTAATCGATTCAATTTTTCGTTATATAACTTATATTAAATATAAAGCACATTTTTTTAGAAAAATAAAAGAGTTCATGACACGAACGAACTATCGATACCAGTGCATCCTTTAAAAATCTTATCATTAAATAATTCAAGCGATGGTCCTAGTCCTGTTGATATTATGTATGTAAGTATGATCTATAATTTTTGTACATCATTTATATATCAGCATTATTTTAATGAAATATCAATTTATTATAGGCATTGACAACTAAAGGACACGATGCATTTAATTTGGAACGTCTAGAGACTTTAGGAGATTCATATTTGAAATTTATTGTATCTTTATTTTTATATGATAATTTTCCATGTTATAGCGAAGGCCCTTTAACGTCATTAAAAGGGAAACTAATTGGAAATCGTAATCTTTATTATTGCGGAGAGAAAAAACGTATCCCTGGACGTATGAAAGTTGATGATTTTGTCCCATTTAGTAATTTTATTGCTCCAGGTTATGCAGTATTTAGATTACTTCAAAAATTGCTATTAAATGAAGAGGTTCGTTATTTGAATTTTTTTAACATAAGTAGGATAAATTATTTAATAGAAAAATTCTTTATTATTTTGTATACTTACAATACTTAAAAACTAATCGCACGGAATTTAATTGTAAATATTTATAATTCTTTATTTTCTTATGAGTATACAGTTGTGTAACTTTAATTACTAAAGTAAATTCGTTACACTTACATTAAAATAAATACAATGTATCATTTTCTATGTAAGATATCACCAAATGTTTTGTATGAAATTCAAATACCCGAGGCGGAACAATTTACTGGGCGTATAAGCGATACAACATTCAATATAATGCAAGAAAAAGTATCGAATTGGAAGACAGTAGAATCACAAACTGGTATGGAACATTATCTTGGAATACAATCTGTTTCTGACAAAACAGTAGCAGACTGCGTGGAAGCATTAATCGGCGTCTACCTCAAAGTACGTAAACGAAAATGAGAAATGAGACAGAATACATGATTTTAGTTCTTTCGAATGAAGCATTTAACATGCATATTTTTAGAGTATGGGTATCAAAGATACTGTGACTTTATTAAAGTGGTTTAAAATTTTGCCAAGACATATTAACGGTGATATCTTATTGTTTGATAAGTCAAGAAGTGTTGCAGTCTCCGAAACTGTAAATCAGGATAAATTAAATTATTTCATGCCTTGGGCCTCTGATATAGAAACAAAACTTGGTTACAAGTTTAAAAATCGAGCTTATTTATTACAGGTAATTTTTCATTTAACACATAGATATATGTTATGTCTATTATATATAATTATAATCTACAAACTGCAAGTTTATATAAAACGTAAATATTTTAGGCTTTTACACATCCTTCATATACAGCAAATAATATAACAGAATGTTATCAAAGATTGGAATTTCTTGGCGATGCTATCCTTGGTAAGAGAATTTTTTAAAATTAAGATTAATATTTTGTACATTTACTTAAAAATTATTTAAACTTATATTCAGTTAGAAGTAATTCCTTTTATTCCAGATTTTTTAATTACATGTTATATTTATGAAAATTGCGAAAATTTTGAACCCGGTGCTTTGACAGATTTAAGGTCTGCTCTTGTCAACAATATCACATTTGCATGTATAGCTGTACGATATGGTTTACATGGTGCATTATTAGCTTATGGACCAAGTTTAAACGATGCTATATATCGGTTTGTTAAATTTCAAGACGAAAGAAATCATGTAGTGAACGATGAGGTACTCGATTATTAAATCGATTATTTCAAGTGTAACATATTTTTATGTGTATACGACGTATTCTATCTTTATAGCTTCTATGGATTTTATTGGAAGAGGATGAATGTAAATTGGCTGAATATGTAGATGTTCCGAAAGTTTTAGGAGATTTATTTGAGTCAACAATAGGAGCAGTGTATTTGGATTGCGATAAAAACCTTACAAAGGTTTGGGAAATAATTTATCGCTTAATGCATAAAGAAATTCGTAAGTCTCTATAGATTGATAATAATAAGTACATTGACATAATTTATTTCTTGATAATAATAGTTCATTTTTATTTAGACGAATTCAGTAAAAATACTCCAAAGCAACCGATTCGTGTATTGTACGAAACTCAAGGAGCTCGGCCACAATTTTTGTAAATATATTTTGTTTTCATAGTTTTCTACAAATTTCTTGCACGTTAAATAATTTCCTTTTCAGATCTGCAGTAGAAGTTGACGAGAACGTTGTTACGGTACCTTTAAAAGTAATTATCGATGGAGAGATGAAGCTCTATCATGGATTTGGCGCAAATAAAAAGCAAGCTAAATGTGCTGCTGCAAAACAAGCTTTAAAATCTTTATTATGTAAAACTTAAGATAAAAATGGAAGATTTTATTTACAAAAAATAATTGTATATATCGAGAGCATTCAAAGTACATGTTCCTTTATTGTTACTTTTATAATTTTATATACACTCGAACCGTAATATTCGCACAAAAACCTAGTTTGTTGCACTACATTTGCAACTAAAAAAATAGTCGCTTAACAACGAAATGTCTTCCATTTAAAACAAAAGCAATTCGTGGATAAGAAACACGATTTTATAACAAATAAGCATAGTGAAATTCGTTTTTTGATACCTGTCTCATATCGATATTTTCGATACTTCCAGGAATTTTGTTATCTTTTTTGTAGTTGTCAAAGTTCTACCGTGTTTGTGAGCGCAAGTATCTACACAAACGACCATACGTTTATATGTTAAACTTACAAATATTTATATTATAATTTTTAAATAAAACAGATATGTGCTATACTGTATCGTCATTAGTTTTCATTTTTTCGTTTTTTTAATGATGGTCGATCAAATATTTGTTTCATTCCAGCAGCTTGATTATTATGAAATTTCAGATTTTGTGCAGTTTCTGAAATCCAAGGTGAATCAAACTGAGTAGTATCTTGATCAACTAAGTGAGTATATTTAGTTCTGCCACTTCGTCCAAAGTTTTTCACTTGCATAACTTTAGGTAAAATTGTTTTGTCGAAATGATCTTCCAAAGTTGCACCAGAGAAATCTCGTTTAAATATATTGTCTTCTTTATCTAGATAGAAGGCTCCACGATGATAATACTTTTGCAAAAATTTATATTTTCCCTTGGCTGCTTTGTTTGTAATCACTTTTGGATTTAAACGAGCTTCTTGTCTGCGCTCCTCTTCGGTCATATTACGTATACGTTCAATCTCGAGACGTTCTTTTTCAAGTCTGAAAAAACCATATTGTTTAGCAAAATACACACAAAATAAGCATAAGTAATATGCTTTTTAATGATACATACTGTTCTCTCTCTTCACGGTCACGTTTAATTCTTTTTAGCTCTCGTAGTTTCCAGGCTTCGTATTCCACTTCGTCGTTTTCATCGTCTGTACAAACATCTTCCAGTTTTCCTTCGTATTCATTGTTATTTTTACCAACTTGCGTTTCCTTTCTTATTGCCTCTTCTACCATCTGTACAATAAATAAAATTAAATGTATTTACTTTTTTTATCTATTTCATTTATAAACGTTACCCGTAAGGTTTGCCTTTTCCGTTCTTCAGATAGTTTCTTTGCTTCAATTTCTGCCTGTTTTTGTTTCATTGCTTCTTTTTCTTTTTCCATTACTGTGATTCTATCCTTTTTACGTACAAAAACTGGTTTCAATCTTGGCCCAGTTTCTTCTTCCGAATCGGTGTATTCTTCGTATTCCGAGCTCTCCTCGGAACTGTCACCCGATCTTTCATCTTCTTCGCCATGAATCAATTCCTCTTCGTTTCCTTTCTTCGACAAAACCCGCTGTTTTAATGCCTCGCGTCTTCTTTCGATTTCAGAATCGGACAATTCTTCGTCCTCCGAAGAGTCGGAACTTTCTAATTTGATCCTTTCGCGGGTTCTTTCTGGCTCGACTTCAATTAACTCTGGCTCATGAATATGCCTATGTCTTTCCACGTGAACTTCTGTACTAGTATTAGATTCCTTTTGTTTTTCTAGCCGTGTTAATCTCCTTATACGTGGATCATCTTCATCGCGTACCCTCACTTGCGATTGTACAGGTATATCTGTAGGTATTTCGTTCTCCTCGTAACCTTTATGAACTCTTCTTTCTAAGAAGTCTTCTTCTTCGGATTCTTCTTCCGAGCTAGCTGCTGGTGCATAATCTGGACGTTTGCCAGAAACATAACGATGCACTTTTACTTTTTTCATAGAAAGTTCACCTATAATAAAAAGCTAGTTTTAACAATCTTATACACACACAAAATACAAATCCAGAAATTGACATTTCATTGTAAACCTTTATCATTTTTTACAGGTACAGCGCCTGCTGTACTTTGAATTCCCATAGGTGCAGGTGCTAAAGAATTGTTTATTACAAAATAATCCATCATTGTTATGATGCTTTACAAAATACTTCTTGAAAAAACAATAAAAAGTTCCATAAACCGTAGTTTTCTCGATCAACACAACACGGATCATAGACATATATGTCTATGACACTGATCGGATCGACCCAGTAGTCATGCAATACGTTGCTAGCATAACAGCTGGGCCCCCAAGCAGAGATGGGCAAAACCCTAGGCTTCGAATAAATCTGAAGTTTGCCGATTTGTTTGTCTCTTTTCCTTCTTTGGAAAATGTTCTAAAGAGGAAGGGAAATAGACATATCAGCAAACTTCAGATTTATTCGAAGCCTAGGATTTTGCCCATCATTGTCCCCAAACTCTACTCTTGTGAACTTTAAGCCCGATTTTAATTCGCGCCCGGCGCTACCCGTGACGCCAGTGTCATTCCTTTACGTGCCATTGAGCTCATATTCTATATAAGTTTATTCTATGGTATATGATTCTTATAAATCATTTTTCCTTTATTTTAAGCCACAGGCATTCTTCGTACTCTTCAGCCAGCCCTAACCCAACCATGAAAAATCAAGGCAGCGTCCGGAATACGAACTCATAAAGAATAATTGATTAAAGATATCGGTGGCGCCATCTTACGAAAATTGTGGGAAGTGTTTTAACTACAAACTTGGAAGTTTCCCCACCGATGGCGCCACTAGGCTTATAGGGATTCTACATAAAACAATTACGAACATGAACTATTAAATAGTAATAGTTACTATTACCGAACTTTAACAACAAGATAATTTATTTTAACAAGAACAATTAAATAAGATTAACAATTTGAATACAAGGAGCTGATTGGAAATACGTCTGAACTGAATGACGGTTGTTAAGGTAATGTTAAAAATAATTGCTACTCACGGAAAAATGAATTGTGCGTAAAAAAAAAACGTAATTTAAATACGCTACGTTCAAACGCAATTACAAACAATTATCAATGTGAAGTATTATACATGTACAAATCGATAAATATGTGTAACCCCACAGGCTACTAAACCATTCGACATCTAGCGACAACGGTGTGAACTATTTTCACTACAAACTGTCTAGTACAGTGGTACTGTATGCTTCATGGTATGATAAACTCTAGTCAATATTTTAACTCTGCCGTAATTTTTCGCGCATGTGTGAAAAGACAGGAACGTAGATATTCAACATCATAGAAATCAGAAATTGTTTTGGCGAACCTTCGGATATTGTAGTAACTAGTAACAGATAAAGCAGGTTTGTAAGTTTAAAGAAAATACATCATTACTTGACCACACTCTTTATTGATATTTTAAAATAAGAAAACAAAGACCTAAACGTTACCGCCTTTTACCCCTCAGAAGCACGTCACTGACATCGTCTCGCGCATGCGTGAAGAATTGCAGCAGAGGCAGAGCTACTGGCTACACACTGACCGAACTAGTTGTTCCGTTGTTCGACGAGTTGGCGCGAGACCGGAAGGTGTACCTGATTTATGTAGTTCATTATACAAAACCTCGTGTATATATATACGTACATTTGTATATATATATACATCTATCTATATATATATTTTAACTTTAATTGTTAATATTTTTATTTCATTCAGACAGAAGTTAAGTAATTATATCAGCCAAGATGTTTTGGGGTAAGTAAAAACCAGCATAACGAACATTGCATATTATTGGTTATCCAGAATTTGCCGGTGAAGAACTGTTTTAGAATGGCGTCGCCATGTGGTCGTGAACAACGATCGCACTTTTCAAAAATATTAAATTATGCTGAAACCATTATCAAATAAACATGTTAATTTTGTAATCTTTTCTTCTCAGGTTTGATAATAGAACCAAATAAGCGGTACACGCAGACCGTTGAAAAATCATTCCACGTGTCAATGGCGAGTTTAGATCTGACTACAGCCGGTAAAAATCAATTTTACGTTACTCTTAAGATCATTCAACATTATATTTTCAGTGGGTTGTTGCCATAACTTACAAATTATTGTTTGAGTGTTCGAATTTAATAAATTTGTAAACGCACATTTTGTTAGAAATATTGAGCCTCCTAATATTTATAAATAGTGTTAGTCTTTATTTTGTTTTATTTAAAACTTGTATTTTTCATCCATTAAGATTTGTATAAAATATAAATTTTGAAATAAAAGATGAATTAGTGCCGTTGAATGTCGTGACATGTTTAAAAAATATATTTTATTTCATTGTTACGAATAAAATATTATTTATTACAGATGATAATTTGGTACAAGTAATGTTGTGCTACGACAATAGAAATTATTTGCTTTGTAGCCTAAGGAAGAGCACAACATGGCAGGTACCGCTCGATTTAAACTTTCAAGAAGGAACTAAAATAGCGTTTACATGTAACGGGCACGGTCATGTACATTTAACTGGCTATCTAATACCTGACGAAGATCTGGATTTAGACGAAGAAGAAGATGATGAAGAAGCACCGCAGCTTATCGATAAATTGTCAAAGCGGAAAGCTATGGATTCATTGAAGAATGAAAAGAATGCCAAACGTCGTAAACAGGAACTCGAAGCGGAATCCTCAGATGACCAAGATATAGAACTAGATGATTTAAACGAAGAAAGTGACACAGATGATTCCGAGGAAGAAGGAGATGAATCTATATTAAACCATGTCGAAATGGAAGATAACGAAGAAGATGACGATAGCGACGAAGAAGACGAGGAGGAAGGTGAAGAAGAAAAGGTGGTGAAGCATCAAAAAAAAGATAAAAAAAATAAACAGCAACAACAGCAGAATCAACAGAAGAAAAAATTATTAAATGGAAAAGAAGCAAAACATGAACAACAAAATAAACAACAGAAAAAAAACAAGGGGGAACAACAGCAAATAAACGATCAAAATATTCACAGCGATCAGAAAAAAAGGCTTATAGAAGGAGGAGTACAAATAGAGGAATTAAAAGTAGGTAATGGTACACCTGCAAAAGCTGGAAAGTTTGTTTCTGTATACTATGTGGGTCGTTTGAAAAATGGAAAGAAGTTTGATGCGACAACGCAAGGAGAAGGTTTCAAATTTAGACTTGGAAAAGGTGAAGTGATCAAAGGATGGGATGTTGGCATCGTAGGAATGAAAGTTGGAGGAAAACGACGTGTTACGATACCTCCAGCTATGGCGTATGTATAATTATTTAGTTCGTAAATTGAAATTTCAAATATATCATTGATAACTTCTTTTTGTATATTATAATATATGCGCGTATATTATTTCTTATAAAATATGTTTTGTAGATACGGAGCAAAGGGTTCACCGCCAATCATTCCTGGCAACAGTACGCTTGTGTTTGAAGTTGAACTTAGGAATGTTCATTAACAGTTAAGAATATCTTACAGACTCTCGAGTATTTGTTAAGTGATATGTAATGTATTTTTAAACAGTAAAGTAGGTATCCTTTTTCTATTGTCCTGTAAAACTTCAAATTTATCAAAGATATAACATTTATAATATATTTTATACTATGTAATATCATTTTGAAAATATTCTGATGGTTTAAATATGATGTACGAGTGTAAGTAAAATAATGTACTATGACTTTTAATTTTGAGTAAACATACAAGGGTATGCAGTTTCCTAGAAACTCTCAGATTCTTTATTAAATGTTGACTTGGTAAATAATGTTTACAATTAAAACTACACCTATTTGAATAATTTAATTTTTTTTAATAATATAACAGTCTCAATGAAAAAGATTTTTCTGTGCATAGTATAAAATATTAAAAATGAAAACTGGTTTAACGAAACACAAACTTTTAATAGAACTAATTTTTTATGGTTTATTTAAGGTAAATAACATAGTTTGTGTAGATTTCACGATGTAAAATCTTTTGTCTTTGAATGTGTTAAAGTATTGAAGTTCTTAAATAAAAACAAGCATCTTAAGTATGTATGTGTATATACAATACCTTTTTCATATATTATTATTAATAATAATAATCTATGTTCTATGTTAACCAATTCTGTAATAATTAACTTGCAGAAAGCATATGAATATATCTATATTTACAAATGACCTTAATTTTTAAAGATATTTGTATTAAAAGCATAAAATGTGAATACTATTACGATACAAGTAATTATAAATAATTTTATTACTTGAGTTAAATTTATAGAAACAGTATTTAAAATAACTATTCTTTTTTATATTCTACTTTAACAATTTTTAATCCACTTTTTTATCATCTTGATTTTTCTTCCACGATAATGTACATACTCCATTCGTGCATTCTTTTACCAATTGTGGAACTTGTTCATTGGTAGTTACCTCTTTTTGTTTACCTCTGAATTGCCACCATTTCAACAATATTGGTTGTATTAGAAATCTCCATATAATAAGTATTAATGGCATAGCTATGCACGGAACACATACCATCTTAGAATGATTTACTAGGAACCCTGAAAAGGTGTATATTCTGAATTTGTCATTTATTAATTATTTATTCAGTCATTGATAAATGTTACAGTATGTATGAACTATTATTCAGTGTATCGATTAATATAGCAGAAATTGGAACTTTACCTTAGATCAGAAGAATGTACTTTTTGTTTACTATTATTCGAAACCCAAATAGGGAGGTGTAAGAAATGGACATATAACCTCAACGTTCGAGTCAAGAACAAATAGCGTAGCAGTTGTAGATCGAATCTTTATATTGATATCAGATTCTTTGTTTCCCCGCTAAGGGGAAAAAAATAATAACTATCTCAATAATGTTATCGCAAAAAATTAAAATTTGAATTTATCGTTGTTTACTATAATTTTGACAGTTAACCAAATTCCACTTGGTATCACTATTACAGCGTATACTACTGGTTGCTACTTGTAAACTGGTCTGGTGCTGGTATTGATACTGGTGTATACGTATTACGTACCGATACGTAGGACCTATTCACTTTTCTGTAAGCATGCGCAGATCATCAATTACGTTCACAATATATTATTCCATATTCAATATAAAATTTGTAAAATTTGTTTAATTATTAATGACACAATTACTAGCATTTTAAAAGAAAATTTTACAAGAGCTCACTATTCGAAATAAAACTACTTATTGTTAGTTAGTTTACTAAATTTTATGAAGAGGATTAAAAAATTTGTTTCTTTTATTTATACGAATGTTGGAATCGTGTAATTTTCATGCAGTCAATATTTGACATGATTTTATCAGCGTATATTTTGTATATTAATATTTATACATAAGAACATGGTCACAGCCACATATTGCTAACAGGATTTGAATCCTGCCAATTTCACTTAACGGTATAAGGTACTGAGAAATACATAAAGCGAGAGTGTGTCAGTCAGTAATTTTACAGTAATAAACGTTACGAGAGCGTTCTAATCGAACGATTATATCATACTCTGAGCAAAAAGAAAAACTGATTAGTCATCGTCGCTAGCCGCTAGGTGACTATCAGTTGGTTATATTATACCACTAGCCCGCTATTTAATCTATAGTATTCGAAAGGTAAATATACAAGATAAATATAGAAATTCGTAGAGCCTTCTCTGAAATTTACAGTCAGGGAAGTTACTTTAAAACAAGCGATAGTTTTCGCTCCGAGTATGATTGTTGCTTCGGTGGCCTCAGACGTGTATACTATGCAGCCAAGCCATACGTTCGAACAGTTGTTGCATCGTTCCAATTCCAATGTAACTCGTGGATCAATGATCTCACATGCTTCCAAATACTTTACGACCTCTCGTTACGGACAACGAGACAATGACGACACTTAAAACAAAGAAGACTAGTCCGAAAAATGCGGTTAGAGCTCTGCACCATTGTCGCTTCCGTTTCGCTTTTGCGATCGTTCGGCCTAACCGTTCGGCACGAGAAACGTCCAATGTGAAGTCTAAGTCTCCGGCGAATCCTCGTATGCGATGGTCCCAGTTAGTTTTGCCGGACGAAACGATTATACCTTCACTGGATGAACCACCGTCACTGCATTCCAGCTGCTGAAACATCGGTCTTAAGTCTTAATAGCTTGACTATATCGATGTTGCATAGATCGTTATTCGCGTTAACGCATCATTTCAATCTAATAGCGAATAATCTAATAAGCAATGTAACTGACAAAAACGAAGCATTCAGCATTCTATCTTGGATTGTAGGTATTTCTTCAACTCACCGTTGCGTATTCCGATTCGTTGTGAACGAGTCTGTTTCGATTCTGCATGGTTTCGTCGTTAATTACGATTGTCTCTTTCGGATCGAGGGCAGCGCAATGGGTTGTATATGCGTTTCGTGGTTGTTCGATGCTATGACTCGAACGATTCGAGCATTTGCAAACACGAGAACCGGAAAGGTTTCGATGAATCTGCGACTCCGATAGGAGCGTCCGCGTAGTTTCTCGACAGTGATCGTCCACCAGGAACACCGCGGGAGGACTTGATTTCTTTCCTGGCTCGTTGTTCATTCCGATTGGTTCGCCACCCTTCGACGACGACGACGACGACGACAGAAATCCGTGAGTATGCTCGCAGGAGCTCAGGCAAGTGTACCACGCCGGGTTGTGGACGTAAAATTGCCTCATGTTACTGTAAAGCTTCGAGTTTACCGGGTTGATCTTCGTCGACAAGGTTCTATTGTTACAGCTTAACAAGGATGAGGTTTTGTCGCCTGCAAATGATGTCTTGGCGGATAAGAGAGACGAATTACGATAAACGTACTCGTAAATCCCTCCTTTCAAGCCGATCCCTTGGGCAACTTTTTGCGAGATGTTATGCAGGATTTCCTCCGGCGTCATAACGGTTTCGCCTTCTATCACAGAGTTCAGTGTTCGGGATAATTCAAGGAGGACGTCGCGCGCTGACGCTGATATGCCTGTAGAGTTTTCATAATCCCAATCGCAGTACGAGTAGGCGTACGCGCAACCGCGTCCGCAGCACGCGTACACAGCTATCGGTACAAGTCAATTGTAACATCGAATCGTGCTTTAATGATAATCGTAACGATAGGACGTTCATCGTTGACCCCGAGAAAATTTACAAGCCGAACAACGAACGTCCATCCTGATTATTTTTGTTGGTAACCAAGTTGAAATATAGGAGAACGTAAAAAAAAAATTAGCATTTATGGTTAACAACGAAACTAAACAGGCTGGATAAGTTACGCGGTTCACTTCTTTATTTACAAAAACGTCAATGCTCACCATCGTATTCGGGATTCTCGTCGCTCTGATAAAGCTCGCGAGGGCTAGGAAACGCAGATGGCCATATAGGACGTGGAATCGACTCGCTCTCGTGAATTACGGCAAGTCCACCGCCGAACTGGTCTTTCATTGTTATAGGCAGAGCTCGAAAAATGCCTTGACCTTGGCGAGGGACTGCCGACGCATAGCAAGAGTAAGAACCAGCGGACAATGGCGGAGAATGGCTGGAATAGCCAGAACTGGTCGAGGTTCGGTAGCATCTTCTCGGATTATTTCGCGTCGTCGTGGTCGTTGTCGTTGTCGTCGAAGAGCCGGCTACGAACCTCGAGACCTCGGCGTCTATCGAGTCAGGCTCTATCCTGTACGATTTGAACATGGTTAGGCCATACCGATACCCGATCAACTGCTCAAATTAATCAGAGTACCCTTTACGCGAATATCTTCATACGTTTACGTACGATATTCTATTTTCTATTCTTTGCCATCGATTCTTTTCGAAACTCGAACATGTTGCATAAGTTGTTTGGTAATTTACGTACTGTGAAAGTTAACGACAAATGTAGCCGACAGTGTAAGTTCGTTTCATCTAAAAAGTACACGTGCATAACTCGCGTCCGCATTTAATTTTACGGTCCGTTGGCGAGAAAGCCCATTTACCATTCTACCTCGTGCAAGTCTGTTCTCGGTACGGCATAGAGACTATCGGGATTGCAAATGTATCGCTCGTTCGGTAGACGCAAAGCAAACTTTACACCATCGTTGTCGGAGCTGTTCTGGTTCCCAGCTGAAACTGTCAAGGCCGTTGTTGAGATCGTGCCACTGAAACAAAATTTCTCGCGTTCCAGCATAGCCTGATATCATCCTGATGCGATCATATCGATCGCTGTTGTACAAATATCGAACAGCGCGACACGCGGTAACTACTTCGATTATTATTCTACTAAATACGATATAATTTAATATTTAACCGATTGTGGTGAGCGCCGTGCTCTTTCCACACGCTGCGGCCGTTACCGAGAACCGATGTTGCAATATGTCAAACGAAACAGCTGGATAACTAGCGAGTTACCTTGAAGCGTTTAACACTCAATTTCTAGCGGCTTTTACGACCGTGGCTCTATCTTTCATCTTTTAATTAACAAGATTGCTTACAATTAGCGAATACGATGAGACACGATATTTGTATTGAAATTCAATGGTCGATCGATACGTATAGTACAGGGTGATCCGCTCGGTAGTAGACACAATGGATAACCGCAACAATAGTCGACTGTTGAATTATAAACATATAATTCGACTTCAACAAAAATGAATCTACCGTTAAGAGACACTGTCCTTTTCTCTGTAATTTAAAGTATCGGACTGGCACCATCAGGTCTGAAGACCCTTGACTGTTTGTCGTCGAAGGCCAGAGTAATAAACAGAGCGCAGGCAGAATTTTCTTTCTTTAAGTGGACGCTAGATTTCTCTTCCTTGTAGGCCTGAGTTTTCAGTTTAGTTCTCGTCCGTTCCTTGAACAGTAAACGTGTCCTTTCGAGCCGTTTGAATAAACGTAGAATTCAAACTTATTAAAAAGACTCATTAATTATACCCATATTCCTATATTGACCGTCACAAAGTCGTCCAGTGTGTCCACTAGCGAGCGGATCACCATATACAGGGTGTCCCAAAAGTCGGGGAGGAGCCGGAAATGGGGGGTAGCTGAGACGATTCTGAACAACAATTTCCTTTGCAAAAATGTCGGATGGGGCTTCGTTAAGGAGATATTAAGAGAAAACCCCGACCAATCAGAGCGCGCGTAGACCGTTCGAGTGGCCGCGGTAGCGAAGGCTACGCGCTAGGCGGCAGCGTCAATGTCCTTCGATGCACGTCGAGTCACTTGTTCGCGTACAAGCGCGGCCGCCAGCGCGTAGCCTTCGCTACCGCGGCCGCTCCAACGGTCTACGCGCGCTCTGATTGGTCGGGGTTTTCTCTTAATATCTCCTTAACGAAGCCCCATCCGACATTTTTGCAAAGGAAATTGTTGTTCAGAATCGTCTCAGCTACCCCCCATTTCCGGCTCCTCCCCGACTTTTGGGACACCCTGTATGTACATATATATGTACGATACATTTAAGTTTGACAACTCTTCGGAGATGTTGAATAAATACAGAGTTAACGATTGGTAGTAAGTTACTACTAGTAACAGAGCAGTTGGTAACTAACGCAGATCTAGCACTATCCGTAAAATTATTCAGTTCGATTTAGATCGGACCTTAAATATTCGTACCTTGACGATTGGTGATTGATGGCGGTGTTACCGCATGGGTTAGATGCAGGTTCGTCCAGAGCTAGTAACCAACGCTGCATACTCTTTTAAAGTGGTCAGCCGCAGACTAAATGCCGCACGCTTTCATTCTCGAATTCCTCGATTCCCGCCGACATCTCGCCATCCCTCTTTGCCTTCTCGATACAACGGCGCTGCTGGAAATAAGACTTATCACGGAAAAAGGTAATGGTGATCTAATCGATTCTATGCGTGTTCCTTAATTGAAATGTTCCGCATCACGGTCGTCCGATGTATCGGCTAGAAACGTTTCCCAGATATATTTTATCTGGCGAGTAGTTTAGTATCGATGCGGTGGATGATCCATGTTTCAAGGTCGCTTTCACATTCGTCTTGTTCACGTAACAAATTGGACAACGCGAAACGAGTATTACGTTATCCAGGACATTCTTTGCAGACTGACAAGAATGTAGGGTAATGTTATACATTTTCTGTATTAACGGTTCTTAAAGTAGTCGTCGATGTTATCTTACCACGGGATGGAGATTAAGTACGCGCAAAGTATTCTTGAACTAAATCCGAGCAGATGATTGTGTAAATTGGAAATAATTTTTTGCAAACTTACACGTCGCGCGTCGGTTTAACGGGTAAAGGCGCTACACCTACGCTTGATCGTCGAGACGTTTATGGTGACAAATTTAGTTATAATTAAAAAATTCCGTTGCGTGAAGAGTAACATGTCAGTACGCTGATGCATACTGCGCGTAAAAATTAAGATCCAGTCGAATATAGCCTGAATATCGAGAAGTATACCTAAGATAATCGTATCAAAATTGATGAACATCCAAGACAAGAGGTGATCGGGCACGATAGGATCTGCCAAAGTAGTCTGTTTACTTGGCGAGTTACAAGTAAATGTGATACTCCAATTAACTAGTATCATGGATCAGCGTGCACGCCGCGGCTCAGCGTAGCGCTCAACACTCCGCATTCCGCCACTTCCAGACGGCCACTTTCACGTCGCTACAGCCCACTCCTCAATGTTCGCGTATTACACGGTACACCCTGGAATGTCGTTGACGTTACAAAAGTCCTGTGCTCAGAGAAGAATGCAACTCGAGCCAGAAGCTCGATATTACGCGGATACGTGGTTACATAGAAGACACATTGCGTAAACGAAATGTTTTTGTATCGAAACAGTAGAAATTAATTTAACGAATCGAATAATTCGTATGCTAAAAAGGCAAACAAGCAGAATCAATCATTTTTCTGTAATCTATCTTTCTGGCACCATTTTAAATTTACGTAACAATTTATTACCAACGTTCTCAATATCGAGAATTTAGCGTTAGAACCGTTCGATGAGGGCACTTTCTCTCGTAACAAAAATTTAAGAAACGACGATAACCATTTCGCTACTTTTCGCTTTGATTCGACTATCTACGATACATAGAGGGAACTGAACCGAAACAACTGTTCGTCTCGTTATATACCGTGAGAGAGTAAATTATTATAAAAAGAAAAGATAGGCGCGCACAGCGCGTAGAAATTTATCTTATAGGAAGATCGTACGAATACGAACGGTCCACGAAACGAAGTCGCGAAAAATATTTGGCTCGAGAACTTTCACTCGCGCTCATTCAGGGCCGTTCCATGAAAACGAGTCGCCCGTCGTTTGAAAATAAGTGCCGGATACCGGATGCCGATCAACCAAAGTTGTCGCCACGGCCACGGATGTCTAATAAGATTGTCGAAAAAGGATCCTCGAGATCACTTTCACGGCGTCGGAAGTGCCATGAATAATTTTTGGTCGGCCAGACCTTCTTCCCTCTTTCTCGTCGTCCTCCTTCCACTTTTTCACACGTCGACTACGTCTAAAGATTTTATCGCCGATCAGAATTTCGATTCGATCTGTAACGCGCTTTCAGCTTTGTCCTTTAATTCTGAAACAGTATCAAAATTGGATTTATCGGTGCTGTATCGTATACGAGCGGATATCGAGAAGAAAGAAAAAGTCCCCAATTTTGAGGTCGTCGATATGTGGGGCAGAGATACACACGATATACGATACCGGCAGGAATTTTCTTTTGGAGGCACAAGAAAGTCATAATAGCCCCAGGCGAGGCGCAACTTTCATGCATGCAAATTCATACATCGTACGGGTGAACAGGTACATATGTATTAGGTTGTCCCGAAAGTTTCTTTCGCGAGTTGCACTCAATTATTTTATTTGGTCGTGTTTATATAAATAGACCATCTAATTTCATATATATCTATGTTGTAACAGTAATGGAGCAAAATGAATCGTGCACAATTCAGTAATGTAACATAAAACATAAACTATTGTGCATGTATTACTTATTAATAAAGCGAAAGAAACTTTTGCGACAACCTAATATATGTATAAACTACACGCGATCGACTAAATATCCAGGGTGCAGTATAAGCTTTTCTTTTCCTCTGGAGAAAGTACAAAAATAACAATTGCTTCGTGGCAATAAGACTGCCTGCATAGTACATAACTACACACTCATCGGCAACCAGTCGTGGATTACGTCAGTTCGTTGGATCGTACCTGTAAATATGTACATATCTACGTGCCTCGATATTCAACATACGAGTCAATATCCGAAGACATTATGTTGTATATGGATGACACAACTTCTGTCATTATTCCAGTAACTGTCATTCTAAACTCCTCTATCGAAAGTAGAAAATTGTTCGCGTCAAAGTTTTTCAAATTAATATGTATAATAACAGTGAACATTTCACTGCTCGAGAGTTCAGAAGACAAGAACTAACCGTTATTTTTAAGTAAGAATCAACAAAAATGATTATAAAACTAAATTATATGGCGCCTCCATTTACTTTCAACATTCTCCTTCCAAAGTCCCAATGTATAATACATTGTACAGTGTACACCTTGGACGACTCTATATGTTCTAATAATCGCACCCGCTTTAAAACCCTCACCGCGGACTCTGATTTTTCGTGGATCATTGATCATCTCTTGTTCTTATATCCTCGTGCTTCGACTCTACATGCGTATCTCTTCGCTGCGTTTCGCAACCCTTGTCACTGCACGATAGGGTCGCACGATACACTCGCTTCTTAACTTCTTCTCTCGTTAAATAATCGGTTTATTCCTAATTCATGTAATTATATTATTTGGTTCTGTACTTTCTTTTTCTAGAAAAAATATGTTACATTGAACTCTCTACCAACAGGATGAGACCAATTTCAAGCTAAACAAAGAATTATGTATTCTCGTAGGAAAGAATTAAATTGATCTATAAAGCCGGCGACTGACTTGCAACAGAACGTTGTAATGTAACTGCTCGGCACGAATTTTACGGTTCGCCACCAACGTTACATTACAAGGTCCTTTTTGGAATCACGAATGCTCGCTTCGAACTCTCGGCTGAATTCTCTCTCAATGCTTCCTACTCAGTTCTGTGAAAAGTAGACGATCAAAGAGGTTCGTCAAAAAACCGACAGACCAGTGGAGCACGCAAGAGCGCAAGAACGGCTCGGTTCGTCGCTTGCTAGTCCGCCAAACTAAGCGAATGCTCGCGTTACATTACACTGTTCTGTTGTAAGTCAGTCGCCGGTTTAAATTGAATATCTTAAGATTGCGTTTATTCGTATTAGATTTCAAATGATGTATGCTTAACTCGTGATTAAATACCTATGGTCTCTTTCGTTCTTTCCTTGTTGCGAATTGACAGCATGAACGAAGAGCGTTAGTGAGACGACGACGACGACAACGACGACGACGACGACGCGACGAAAACTTTCACGCGCGCACAAGCGCGACCGTTACATTCGCGATGTTGTTCTCGCGGACGCCCGAAAGAAACTGAAAGTCCTGTTTTGTCGTCACGTATACTCGATTGGATCATCGAAAGCTTTCCGTCGTGTTCCCTCTACCACAGTTGGGGATTATCTAGATAAATTAGCAGAAATAATTATGTTACAATATTTGTCAACATATCATGTCGAGTATTGAGCTTGACAGAGCTAGAAAATATGATGAATACATCGAAAAAGAGATTTGTTCATAAATGAAACAAATATTAAGCATTATACATGATTGTTTATTAATCGTTCAATGCACACTAATCCTAGTTAATTGCAACAATAATTTGATTGTCGCATTCGTCATTGTTGTTTCTCCGATTGCGGGTTGTGGAACAAAATAGTACCTATGTAATTCAATAAATATACATATAAATAAATGTATATTACAATTCAAATGTGTCTTTGAAGTTTTCTTAAAAATTGGCACGAACTTTCTGGACAACCTAATATTTCCCCAGTTTAGAAAGCAATTACATACCTGCAACTACTTGAATATCTTTTCGATATATTCGATAATCGATACAAAATGTCGAAAAGTTGCTGGTACAAGTGAGAGACTTCACACGTGTGGTGTGGACTTTTTGGTTATTTGTAAATATTATTTACCCTTGCAATGGCTACTTTTTCCGAGGACTTATTCGATGTTTTCGAAGAAACAGAAGATGTAATAGAAGTAATTCCGTCTTCGGTGAGGCAACAAGATTTAAATACATCACCGACCGAGAAGTAAGCATCTGTTGTTTTTATAACCTCACAAATTAATTTCAAACATGTTCTTCACTAATGAAAGATAATGAATATACAGAAAAGCTGATACAGAAAGTGGAACGAAACGGGAGTTGGAAAGAGATGCTAGCGAATTAATTTCCAAAAAGTTACGGCCAGATCCAGTCTTGGAAGATATAAAGTAAGATGCGATGATACATGTCTTTACCAAAAGTAGTTTTATGGCATTTAATGTAAATTTATCCCTTAATCGTTTATATGTTATCGTATATAGCATAGAAGAGTTAACTCCACGTATTAAAATACATACTATAGAGACAATTGAATCATGCACGCATGAAGTTGCAGTTCCACCAGATTATGAATATGTACCACTGGAAAGTAAACAAAGCAAATCAGCTAAGGAATATAAATTTGTACTAGATCCATTTCAGAAGGAAGCGATATTATGTATAGAAAACAATCAGTCTGTTCTAGTTTCTGCACATACATCGGCTGGTAAAACTGTTGTCGCTGAGTATGTATTATAATAGAAAATGAAAAGTTTTTGAGTGTACTTTGTACTAATTTTGTATACTATAGGTATGCTATAGCGTGTTCCTTAAGAGACAAGCAACGAGTAATATATACAACTCCTATTAAAGCTTTAAGCAATCAAAAATACAGAGAGTTTTTCGAGGAATTCAAGGATGTCGGCTTAGTAACTGGAGATGTTACAATTAATCCAACGGCTAGTGTGCTTATCATGACCACTGAAATTTTAAGAAATATGCTTTACAGAGGATCAGAGGTTGTTTTTAAATTTTACATTATATTCGTATATAAATATTTGTTATCGCATTAATAACAATAGCGTATGTAACGTTCAGGTAATGCGAGAAGTTGGCTGGGTAATTTTCGATGAAATTCATTATATGCGGGACAAAGAAAGAGGCGTTGTATGGGAGGAAACGTTAATATTATTACCGGACAATGTGCATTATGTATTTCTCTCTGCTACTATACCTAATGCACGACAATTTGTAGAATGGGTTGCACATTTACATAAACAACCGTGTCATGTAGTTTATACAGACTACAGACCAACTCCTTTGCAACATTACATATTCCCTGTTGGTGGTGATGGAATTCACTTGGTTAGTAGAACATAATAAAGTAATAATTTATTGCAAAATAAAAAGCTTACATTTGTTTATCAATGCATAGGTTGTAGATGAAACAGGACAATTTAAAGAAGAAAATTTCAACAGAGCAATGGCTTGCTTGCAACACGGCGATGCAGCTAAAGGAGACACGAAAGGTCGTAAAGGAGGAATGCGTGCATCGAATTCTGGGCAAACAAATATTTTCAAAATGGTCAAAATGATCATGGAGAGAAATTTTGCGCCTGTAATTATATTCAGTTTTTCAAAAAAGGACTGCGAAGTTTACGCGATGCAAATGGCAAAATTAGATTTGAATACGATAGAAGAAAAAAAGTTAGTGGACGAAGTTTTCAATAATGCTATGGATGTTCTTAGCGAGGAAGACAGACGTTTACCACAGGTTGAAAACGTATTACCACTTTTAAGACGTGGAATAGGAATTCATCATGGTGGACTCTTACCTATTCTGAAGGAAACTGTAGAGATATTGTTTGGCGAAGGGTTAATAAAAGCGCTCTTTGCAACTGAAACTTTTGCAATGGGATTAAATATGCCAGCACGAACAGTTTTATTTACGGCATCGCGAAAATTTGATGGTAAAGATTTTCGTTGGCTTACGTCTGGAGAGTACATACAAATGTCGGGTCGAGCGGGTAGAAGAGGCTTAGACGAAAAAGGAATAGTAATATTAATGATTGATGAACAAGTTAGTCCGGTAATTGGTAAAGCAATTGTACAGGGGAAACCAGACCCTATTAATTCAGCTTTTCATTTAACTTACAATATGGTTTTAAATCTTTTGAGAGTCGAAGAAATTAATCCAGAGTACATGCTTGAAAGGAGTTTTTATCAATTCCAAAATCAAGCCTCTATCCCTGATTTATATAACAGTAAGTAAATTGTTTATTCAACGATTAAATGTTACGATTTCGTATAAAATGATTATTTTTATAAATTATTACAGAGGTTAAGGAATTGCAGACGGCATATAATGCAGTGGATATTGATAAATATAATCAAATATCATCTTACCATGGCATACGTGAGCAACTTGACCGTCTTTGTACTGAATTTCGATCCTTTTTGACGAAACCAGAATATTTACTTCCATTCTTACAACCTGGAAGGCTAGTGAAAGTATGTATTTACATATATGCTACTTACACGTGAAACCATTGTTTACTCTATTTGAATAATGATTTTAGGTGAAAAATGAGAACGAAATGTTTGATTGGGGTATTATTGTAAATTTTAAGAAAAAGAATCCTAAAAATCCAACGAAAGAAAATACTGCTATAATCATCGATGTTTTACTTCATATTTCTAAAGAGTCTAGCGACGGATGTCCGATACCCTGTCGCGAAGGGGAGGAAGGTGACATGGAAGTAGTCCCTGTTTTACATACATTAATTTCACAAATTAGTTCTCTTAGATTGTACTACCCAAAAGATCTGAGACCATCCGATAATAGAAAGAGTGTGCTAAAAACGATACAAGAAGTAAAGAAAAGATTTCCAGATGGACCACCGTTATTGAATCCTATTACAGACATGCGAATCGAAGATGAATCATTTAAAGATATTGTTAAGAAAATCGAAATATTAGAAGAAAGATTATATGCTCACCCTTTGCATAAGGTAGTAAAAGACATGCTATTTTTCATTCATTTTTAATATTCATACAATAATAATGAAATAGAATAATTTCATTTTACTCGGATACAGGATCCCAATGTAAACACATTATATGAACAATTTTTACACAAAGATGACTTAGCCAATCAGCTAAAGCAAGCTAAATTAGAATTAAAAAAAGCTAAATCGATACTTCAAATGGATGAATTAAAATGTAGGAAACGAGTATTACGAAGACTGGCCTATTGCACAGCGTCAGATGTTATAGAATTAAAAGGTCGAGTCGCCTGCGAACTCAACGGTGCCGATGAATTATTAATGACAGAAATGATTTTTAATGGATTGTTTAATGCGTTGAGCGTGCCGCAAATGATAGCATTAATTAGTTGTTTCGTTTGCGATGACAAGTCAAACGAAATGCCTAAAAGCACCGAAGAATTAGGTGGTCCACTCAGACAAATGCAAGATTTGGCCCGGAGAATAGCGAAAGTATCTACAGAAGCTAGTTTAGAATTAGATGAAGATGCATACGTGGAAAGATTTAAACCGTTTTTGATGGATGTTGTATATGCTTGGAGTAAAGGTGCTAGCTTCTTACAAATTTGTAAAATGACAGATATATTTGAAGGTATATTGCAGATTTTAATTCCTTTTATCAGATTATTATTATTATTTATGACTTTATATTTCATTCTTGCGTAGTAAACTTAATTTAATTTAGTTTAGTTTAATTTTATTTTATTTATTCTAGGTTCAATTATACGATGTATGCGTCGGCTAGAAGAAGTTCTTAGACAATTATGTCAAGCAGCAAAGAACATTGGAAACACGGATTTAGAAAATAAGTTTAGCGAAGCAATTAAACTTATAAAACGTGATATTGTTTTTGCTGCATCTTTGTATTTATAATAAAAATTCTTAGAAAGATTTGCTATTATTTAAAATATATTTTTTTATTACGAGTTCCATTTATATCTTTTACAAATTAAGCTCTCATTCGATATACCTTTAGATAGTTATTGCAATCATGGTAACAACAAACAAAAGACAGCTTTTGTTTGAGGTTTCTCAAAATTTAATTTATTATTAGGAAATTAAAATATACAATGTACATGCATGGAAAAGACTTTTTTTCATAATATAAAACTACATTTGTCGTACGAATTAATAGTACGAAAAAATACAGCATAAAAATGTAGTTGCATAATAAACAGAACTCATATTAACTGACAACTATTCGAAACTTGTTAAATAAATAACACTTTCAGAATATTGCGATCCTTAATTCCTACATTTTAATTTAATTACAACAAATTACTTATCGTTCTTCTAAAATTACTGTTTCTTGAGGACAGAATTTCAGATCCATGAGA